AATTTTTCAAGGTTAGTCTTTATTTGGAAAATGTTGAGTCAAGGTTAGTGTTTTACTTGAAAAAATGTTGAGTCAAGGTTAGTCTTTAACTTGAAAAATGTTGAGTCAAGGTTAGTCCTTTATTTGGAAAATGTTGAGTCAAGGTTAGTGTTTTACTTGGAAAATGTTGAGTCAAGGTTAGTCTTTTACTTGGAAAATGTTGAGTCAAGTTTAGTTTTTTACTTGAAAAATGTTGAGTCAAGAATAGTCTTTACTTTGCTTGATTGTTAGCCTTTGACATTTCAAAGGTGTGGCAGGTATTGAAAATAGTGAATAAATAAGACATGCAAATATAAGACAGAACAGAACAGAACAGAACATTTATTTTATTAGATTTGTACCATAAGTACATCATCGTAACATATTTACAAAATTAATACATTTACATGTAATATAATACAGTCACATGATAAACCAGTGTTTTATAATAATCAAATCGCCAATAACACATACATTACATTTACACATTTACATTTAATAAAATTACAAATACATAATATAATCATGATACTTTAAGCATACAATTTCATCGTTTTTTTATTCTAAGAGGATGGAACTTAAAATATGTGTAACAGATGCTCTTAAAGTCATAGCACGTTTAATATAAATAGCTAAATTTTAAGAATTGTTCTTTTATCATTTTTAATAGTTCTACAAATTTAAACATGCTTGGTTTTACATAATAATACTTTTTTATATATTTTTCCTTAAATCAATATAACATGGGCAAATCAAAATAAAATGATACTCGTCTCAATGTCGTGCTTATTACAGTATATACAATAACGTTGATTTCTATCGATTCTTTGTGTACTGTATCGACCCGTTTGAATTTTCAAAGAATGTGAGGATAACCTTAATTTTGTTAAATAACATCTTAAATTGCAAGGCAAAATTATCCAAGTATTTTTCGTACTCAAAATTACTTTTTGACATGATTATATACTTCTAAAACAGGACTGTTTTCTTTATTTACATGCCACCCTTGAACAAAATTATCGATAATCCGTTGTTAAAACACTAATATAAAAGTCTTTTCACAAACAGTTTCAGGCGAATCCCACACATATGCAAAACCATAATCATATAATACATTTTTTCACATTTGACAGCCAGTTTTTCTTTCCCAATAAACAATCATCATATGCAATTCTATACGCATGCTGTAATATTATATTATCTGTTTTGGTCAGTTTAAACCAATATTTAATTATTCTTACATGTCTCATAATATAAAGAGGATATCATGCAAGTTCACCCTATACAGCCGTTGAACATGTCGTCGTTTTGACCTTTAATAATTGTTTACAAAATTTGAGATAAATTATTTCAATTTCCTTAGATTTACTGAATCCCCATATTTCTGATTCATAATTTAAAATAGAAATGAAATGAATCAAATAATTGACAAATAATTTTAGGCTTTAATTTATATTTGTGACAATTAATAAGTAACAAATTTAAGGCTTTCAATGCTTAAAAAACTAAATGCTTTTGATTTAGAACAAAACTACCTGTCTAATTAAAGTTGTACCCAAATAGTTAAAATTATCCAAAATTTCAAGTCTTAGTGAACCACAAAGCCTCTTATATACAACAACTTTTGTTTTATCTGTATTTACTTCTAGACTCCAAGTTTCACAATAAGTACATAAAAGCTTTAATGATTGATTTACCTCATCAGGCGATTCACCCAAAATAATCATATCATCAGCAAACAACAGCAAAATAAGTATAATGTTATCAATGGTAAGACCAGAGTCTGTATTCTGTTGTAGATATAACTCTAAGTCTTCTACAAACAGAGAAAATAATATGGGCGAAATTACCTCCCCTTGCCTTAAGCCTACAGCGTATTCAAAAAAGTCAGAATAGGTATTACACAACCTTACACAAGACTTAACTTTTTCATACATACTTTTAACAATACGTAGCATTTTACCTCTAATTCCACTTTTATAAAGCTTTAACCATAGGGCATTTCTATATATACTGTCAAAACATTTTTTAAAATCAATAAAAACACAATAAAGGCGTTTATTTTCATTTAAATACTTCTGAACTAATGTTAACAGGATAAACAAAGCATCAACTGTCGATTTTCCTTTTCTAAATCCAAAGAGAGGGATGATCTATGTCTAGAAAAGAAGAGCTCTAACTTTTCAACAGTTTTGTTTTTAAATTGAAATCTTAGCCTTCTTGCAGCAACAGATTTGTACCATATACATTTTTGTACTTAATCTTTACACTCACAGTGTTCATACTTTTACAAACTTCTTTTTGTAAGCAAAGTTTTACTACTTAATTTAAAACAATATCATGCTCTACTAAACTTTTTTTTGGAAATATTTTTGTGAAATGTCTAATCTGTGGTTATGTTGAAAGCCTTGATAATGGTTATGTTGATGCTATAGCAGTATTTGTAAACATACCTGTAGGAAATGTTTTACAGTAAAAGTAACTTAAACTCTATCTTTATATATTAGGCGTAGAAAATGAAAACCCTCAGCCACAAATGGTTCACCTGGCTAAACAGATAATTGCTGCGATGCCAGAGAGAATAAAATCGTCACCTAGTCGCGGAGATGATATTCAGCCAGATGAGTTTCAGCGAGAACGTAGCAGTTCGTACAGCTCGTTACAGTCCTCGGCATCACCACACCCGCCCTCGTCATACGGCGAGGCATTATCCTCGTATGGAGAAGATTCTGGCATCTCAACGCCGATGCATGATAGTCTGGCCTTTGATGAATATAGGTAGGACATTGGCATGTTCCTGATTTAAAGAATCGTGTTGTTGATTTCTTGGAAATGTTTCATTTTATCGTAACTTTTACAAAAATTATTATCTTCTATGTTTGGATGGGACCTTTCCTGTTTTTAATTTGAAATCCATTTTGTACTCACTTATTTGAATATTAGGGAGAGCTATTGTACTCCTCCAGCATTGGTATCACACTTTGATAAAGGTTTTTGTGTGCATGTTAGTACCTTTAAAAGTACTGACGGGAATGGGTTAAATTTCACACTCTTATTTAAGAGAAAAATAGAAGGTCACTTTCCATGGCCCATAACTCTGACATTGATTTTGACAGAATTATGGTCCTTTTTTAACTTAGAGAATTCTGCATTATCCAGTCTGTTGTTTTACTATCAAGCACTAACTATAATTGAGCACATTTTCCTACTGCCAGCTCTTGTTATATCAAGGACTTTTAATGTCAAGATAATTTAAAATTTGGGGCAGAAAACTGTATAGTGTATAGAGGTTAGTTAGGGTATGTGGATGTGTAGGCAGACATCGCTGTACATTTGTGAAATTTAGTTATAAATATCACCACTATTATACATTGATATTTACTTTTATTATATACCTATAAATTTTCTCCCTAAAATACACGCAAATATTGAAGCGCAAATACACTTCAACGGATAGAAATTTCCGTATTATGTTAGTGACAAATACAGTACCATATATGGAAGTGCCGGACTATTTTTGACGTTGGTTCCGATCTTAGCTTTGTATAACGTTGCATTTGAAAATGGGAACCAAAATTATTAAAGGCGTGGCCGGTTTGCAAGAATTGCGTATTCATCCGTCAGTCATGAATTTATTTCTTGACAACTACATTTCATTTTCTGAATAAAACAAAACGGTATATAATAAAAGGAAAATTATGTTATAGTAGCTTTCTGAGACTATGTATTTTTCTACTCGCAACGTTGGAAAATTGATATCGCTGCTCGTAGAAAAATACAAAGCCTCAGAAAGCTACTACAACATAATATTCCGTATATACCTGCGTTCTAGTAATAGAATTATTAATATTGTTTATACTTATAACAACAGCATGTTGATCTGTTTTATTTGTTTTTCAGATATCCAGATGTTTATTCAGACTTGGGTACGCCCGCCTCCTCGTTGAGCCCTGACTCTACATGTCTACACAGCCCATATAGTCCCTATACATTCCACATGGACTCCCCGCCCCCTACTGCTGCAGAGTTCATTGAGTACTTTAATGCTCCCGCTACCTTCATGGAGAAAGATTTCTCACAGCTAACACTCTCTGGTAAGTTTCCTGTCTTGCTTGTTACCTTCATTGTTGTAGTAACCAGTTTTCGTGCACATCTATGGAAGAAATGATTTTTTGTGCCATAAAAATAAGCATAAGGTTTTATTTCATAAATGCTATAAGGGGCGTCCGTGGCCAAGTGGTTAAGGTCGTTGACTTCAAATCACTTGCCCCTCACCGCTGTGGGTTCTAATCCCATCAGGGACTTTGGATTCTTTCATGTGAGGAAGCTATCCAGCTAGTTTACAGAACGTCGGTGGTTCTACTCAGGTTCCTGTTTGTGCCTGAAATAATGCATGGAAGGGTACCTGAGGTCTTCCTCCACCAGTAAAGCTGGAACATCGCCATATGACCTATACTGTGCCGGTGTGATGTTAAAATCCAATAAAAAAAACAAACGTTAATGCTATATTCTCCAGTAGTCTACTGTAGAAATTGGGGCACTTTTAGGGATAAATTGTAGACAGTACTGTTTATACATACAACAATAATATAGGGAGCATGTCAATGGATGAAAATTGAGAAATTTATGTACATTATTACATTGAGCTATATAAAGTGAAAGATATTTTTTATATCAAATTAACAGAATACACTGTATTTCGTTGATAAACATGTAATAAAAATTACCAGTGGCCTAGATTTTTGGTGTACTGTTACTGTGTTACAGTTTCCAAAATATATATACTCATTGACCATACGGATTTATATATGTTATGGAAATTTGTACAGTTTTAGTGAACAAGTATTTTGTTTGAAAGTCAAAATACCATTTTGTTTACATTTTGATACTTTTATGACAACATATTCTACACGCAAGGCTACAATCGTCTGACGATAAACAGGATATATTTTAAATCAATTGTAAACATTTTAAAACACATATTTACCCTTTCTAAAAAAAGACAAAATGTTGTTTGTTGTTTTTTTTTTTTTTGGGGGGGGGGGTTTCCTAAGATTTGATTGGTTTTTTTTTTCTCTTTTATTTTTCAATCATAATATACAAACATTCATCAAATCATATTAACTAAATACATAAAGTATAACTTCAAATAAATGTAATGAAATTATGACAAGCATATTTGTATTTTAAGGTGACAACAGACACTTTCCGTGGTACTCACATAAATGTCATTTAAACCAAGTTATTTTAGTAATAATTGTTATTTATTTAATCTTTGTGCATTAAATGTCGTTGATCATCATAAAAAATAACATATTTGAAAAAAATGCCTTTGTAAATGATTGATTTTGAATAAAAAACCTAAAATTTTAAATCGTCATATCAAAGTCATTTTTTATTTTTTTGTCATCAAACTTTTGGAAAATAACCTTACTTATATTATCTGGGGAACCGTGTCTCAAATTTTTTCTATCTTTTCTCAAAAAAATATTACGTAACGTCAAACATTTTATGCAACTTTTTTCACCATACATATTACGTAATTAAAGATAATTAAGTCGCTGATTGAGCAAACAAAAATCCCTGACACGGTTCCCTCCGTAAATGAATTTCCTTTCATGTGCTTTAAACCGCATGTTAATTGCTTGATTATTAAAAAAGTTTTGCCGATTCAAAGTTAGTCCGACCCGCATCAAACGAAGTGTCATAAATCGGCTGTTCTCTCTCGGACCCCTACGTTTCACGCTAAATAATTGCATAATACACAAATATCGCACCAGAGAGGGTCACAAGTTGCGGTAACATACTCTAACAACATTTTATGACCCAGTGACATCTGACCAATTAAAAAGCTGCTGATTAATATCAGTTCATAGCCGAAATTTCTTCAATTCTTAATGTGATTTACTGTCAGTCTGATATCTGTCGCACATGTCACGTGACTATCGGTAAAATTTGAGGCACTCAGTGGGGGGAAATGGAACGCATTTGCGCACCGCTAGCGGGGTATTTAATTGTTTCCTTTTTGAAGTTTATTATTATTATCATCAGCATTATTATTGTATTATACCAGTGTCACTCTGCCACTCTGCATTCGTGTATGAAATTCCGTTAAAATATAAAATAAAATAACAAAAAACTGAGCTTCTGACAGTCTTTTAAAGTCCATGGTAGATGTACAAATAAGAACGGGATATTATATATTTTTTCCACCAAATTGATAATGCTTCACATATTTTAATAGAAATAAAAGGTATTACTCGATCATTATGATCTGACCTTCTTGACTTCTATTATGAATATCATCTATGCACGGCATAGAGATCCAGTTTCTACCGGGATAGACAATAAATTTCATACTTTGTCCCAGATTTATTAGTACTGTGTCCGATTTACTGGCGAACAATTTATTTTCACTGAAAATATATTTTAATATCTTTTTTTTCTTCATAGAGAAATAATCATCCTTAGACAATCTAAAATGGTTTAGAAATTTGTCAGGGACACCTTACTACAAGTCATATAGGCGTTCACATAAAAAATGTTGTCTGTTTTTGTTGTTGTTTTACTTGACATTGTTAGAAAACGAGGTTGAATGTAAAGTAAGCCCTTGAATCCGTACAAAAGTCTATCAACTCAATGTAATATCTATCAGATTAACGGGACAGACAAATTATGGATATTTTAGCAACTACATTTTTAATCAACCCCGTGGTCGTGCGATTTGCCGCTATGCTTAATTATTTATGTTTCATACATTATGTTACGTACATTGGCCGACAATTTCTTAATTTATAAAAAAGGCTAAATGTTGAGATATTCATAAAAGATGTACGGTAGTTGTACGATACATGTATTACGTTAAGTATGGACCAGTATGGACCTGTAATTCACGGATATATGGAACTACCGATTTCCCTCATTGATGCCTCAACAGGGGGCGGAGCGTTATCGATAATCGACAGGTTACGCGAGTAGCAGATACAAATAGTATAGGTACCGTTTTAAAACGTTTAAAAACACATTTTTTGGACTAACTGCTTCCAAAATTAAATCACGAATGTGTTCAGAAAAGGTTGATAAATCTACTTAGCAAAAAATCTCATTTTAGGTATTTTCAGTGATAATTGACTCCGTTGTCACCTTAAGATCTTCTAATAAAACTAAGAAGTGCTAATATTATGATAAAGTGCATAATAAGTATGAGAGAGAGAGAGAGAAAAGAAAGTGTATGAAAAAAGAGGAAAGATAAATGAAGAATGAGAGAAGAAAAAAATGCAAAAAGAGAGAAAAGATAATAAAGGTCAGTTATGTCACCATTTAAAGATAGTAATTAATTAAAAAAAAAAAAAAAAATAGAAATAATAGATGTGTTGAATAAATAGAGGATATTGAATGAGTGTAAGTTCAATACTGAATTTATTGAAGGAGTTGTATAAAGTTATATTATGTGAGCGTAACATTATTTTATTCAACAAGTTCAATAAATTAAGTATTGAACTTACACGAATATGATATTGTTTTTATCACATACCCAAAATAAAATAGTGTTTAAAGTAAAAAACAATACCTTTTTAATGACACGCCTATAATATAACTCAAACGACATCACATCAAAATATATGCACGGCATTGCAATACATTTTTTCACACAGTGGCAAAATCGGCACGAGTTTGTGATAAATTATTATACAGATAAACATGTGAGCTATAATTCTATTTTTACAGATCGTGAACAGAGGAAATTATACGAGGCAGCTAAAGTTATACAGAGTGCGTACAGACAGTATAAAGATAAACAATGTAAACAACAGGCAAAAGAAAGAGAGGCAGCTGTTCTAATACAGAGTTATTATAGGAGATATAAACAGGTCTGTTGTACTGTCATATCTTAATAGTGGACATACTTGGTAGTTTGTTTAGCTGGGCTTGATTCTTTCTTAAGCTAGACTTGAACAATTTTTCTATCATACTAGCTGTCACCTTTGGCAGTTCAGTGTTTGTACATGTGTCCTTCCTGATAATGCTTGTCCGGGGCATAACTCTGTCATTAATAGGCAGAATTTCAAATAACTTAGCACAAAAAATTAATGCTCACAATAATGAGATGTTGTGTTATGCGCAAGAACCCTGTGGCTAGGTCAAAGATCAAGGTTATAAAAAAATGATCTCAAACAGCTTGTCTGCACCATGACTATCACTAGCTGATGGAATTTCATATAACCTGGCACAAATTTTCAACATCATGAGACAGCGTGTCACTTGCAAGAACAATTTGACTAGATCATAGCTCAAGGTTAGATGTGACAGATGGCTTGACATGTTGCCCTTGGGCATTTAGTTTCCACCAGTAATTGCTAACATTTCCACACAAGTCATTCTAGAAGTACTGGAGGATGAATAGGATTTCACTTGGCTGAATCATAGTAGACAAAAATACATATATTTAATGTCTATTTATAATTTTATTTTAAATGATATTCATTTATGCTGGACAGTACGACAATCTGAATTACTGTCTAGTGTCTTAATATGGATGCTAGCTTGTGTCACTAGCAGGGTACAAACCCATATCAAGAGGTTGAGAGGCAGACACCTTTACCACTAGATCATGGCTTTTTTTTACTTTTACTGTTTTGTTATCAGTATATATGATTTTCATTGAAAGTATTTCCTTGAACAAAAAAAACAAACAAATTTTTACAAAAACATTGCTATTCATTTTAGTATGCATACTATAAGAAGATGACCCAAGCTGCTGTGCTAATCCAGAGCCAGTTCCGAAGTTACTATGCTCAGAAACGGTTCAAGAAAAGTCGCGATGCTGCTGTTGTTATACAAAACCAATACAGAAGTTATAAAGAACATGAGAGGTTGAAGAAAGGGGGAAATAAATCTGTAACACAAAGATTCAGGTATCCCCCTTGATTATCTCCCTTGTATTAATGTGAATTTTTCAGTATGGGAGCTTTTTTTATGGAAATTTTCATGTGTTTTAAGATTCAGTCAAGCAACTGTTCTGAAGAGTTTTTGTGAAACTTTGCTATAAAAGTCCCAGTTCTGAAGAGTTTTGTGAAACTTTGCTATAAAAATCTCTGTTTTGAAGAGTTTTTTTGAAACTTTGCTTTAGAAAATCCCTGTTCTGAAGAGATTTTGTGAAACTTTGCTATGAAAATTGACTAATTTTGTACAAATCTGCATTTTGATTGGTTATATTAGGTTACAGTCTTAATAAATGGAGGTCAAGTAATTCACAGGCATGTGCAATATACCATCAAAAAACAGACTTTGTTTAACATTTAACATGCCCTCCCCCCACACACACTTAAAGGGGGGATTGCATATAGATTTACCGTTGTCTGTTGGGGGAATCCGTGGCCGAGTGGTTAAGGTCGTTGACTTCAAACCACTTGCCCCTCACTGCTGTGGGTTCGAATCCCGACAGGGACTTGGATTCTTTCATGTGAGGATGCTATCCAGCTAGCTTACAGAACGTCCGTGGTTCTACTCAGGTGCCCGTTGGAAATAATGCATGGAGGGGCATCTGAGGTCTTCCTCCACCGGTAAAGCTGGAATGTCGCCATATGACCTATATTGTGTCGATGTGACGTAAAACCCAAATCAAACAAAACCTTTGTCTGTCTGGCCCACTGTCAGGCTGTCCATTCTTTAGACTAACATTTCAGTGGAGGGAGTGGGGCCAGGGGAGTGGGGTGGTGGCATCTGTGGCATATGGACTCAAAATCAACAGGATAAGCATTAACTAAATGACTTATGGAATACATTTTTCATTTCTTAAACACTGTCTTATCATTACAACAATTACAATAAAGGACTGTTATAGACAAAAGTCATAACTGTGAAGAGATTGACCGTCAATATATCACATATGTCCCTCTTATAATATTCATCATAATTATAGGTGTATATATCACCTGTGTCTCTCTTATAATATTTATCATATATGTCTTCCATACTTCAGGAGTCATTAAA